GACATGGTCTTGCTGGACCAGGGCCAGTGAGATGCTTGCCCTCCCATTGTCAGGGCTGTCCTTGTCCAATGGATAAAGAGAACCTCAGGCTCCATATTTCACTATTTACTAAACTGAAAATAAAGTGGTCAGCTGTGGGACAAACCACTGAGCAAGAGTCACATGACTCTGGCTGGGAAAAGAAAAGCAGGAGTCCCACAGCGTAACCCTCACATTTTGGAAGAGTCCAATCAAGGGAAGGCAACACTGAAAGAGGTCCTTATTTCACTAGGACAACTCCGTGTAATATCTGCTCTGCTCAGTTAAAAAAGAACAGAAAGCTGAAAGCTCACCTGAAAGCTCCAGAGCAGATGCTTCCAATCATGTAATAGACTGTGTAGAAAGTGACCAGGCACAACAGTAAGTGAATGAGGATGGTCTGGAAATCATAGCAGAAAAGCACAGGGATCAGCACCTGCCGCGGTGAGTGGAACATTTATTTACATCCCACCACACAGAAAGACTGTAGCAGAGGAAAGTTTCTTGGGAATTCTGTGCCAGTTGCAAACAACTGGATCTGAGGCTGAGCCCTGTGTGAAATGAGAAGCTCTGTTCTGTTCATCCAGCTGGCCATTTCAATGATGAAGATTTAAATACATTCCTAGTGCTTCATGGGATATGTGCAAATGTAACAATGACTCCAGCTCAGTCATTTGCAGGGACTGAAGCTGGGAGCTCTGGATCTAAAACAAGCCTATGTTATCTGAGCTAACACAACAGATTTGTATATTTCCAGACAGTAGCAGACTCTAGGGAGACAAAAAGCCACCTTGTGATAGTGTAAATCCACAGTCAGGCAAGCACTATGCAGCTATAAATGGATTGTCAATAGTCGTACATTTCTGCAGCTCCAGTCAAGGACCCCCAAGAACTTCACAAATTGGTCCATCCCCTACCACCGGAAAGCAGTGTCCTCTGAATTGGAAGGCAACAGGTAGACAGAACAACACCACACAACTTTAGGACAGGGCATTTTGGAAAGGACATCAGGGCAAAAACCCTCCTCTTCTGGCAATTGTCTTATAATAGTTTGTTTCCACTTGGGACAGAAAGGACTTGGTTTTTAACATCTGCATTGGGAAGACAATAGAGGCCATACATCCTGCCAGTCCACTAAGGTGCCTGGATCTTCCACAGAGGTGCTCAGAAAATGGCTCACAAAAGCTCTGCTGTGTGCTTTATAAGAGGCAGCAAGACCCAGTGCAGCATGAAGGAATGGCTAGCTCCTCCTGTCTCTGTACACACCATGCAGGGTGGGAGTAGAGGAGCTGTAGAGCCTTCACACCAGCGAGGCCGTCCCCCTGCACCAGGGTATTCCCAGGAGATGGGTTTATTTATCTAACTCCATCACTGTAACTTCTGAGCTCCTCATAATTTTAATGTGTCCTACTCACACCCCCTGGCTGCATCTAGATTGGCATGATTTTCCGGAAATGCTTTTAACGCAAAAGTTTTCCGTTAAAAGCATTTGCGGAAAAGAGCATCTAGATTGGCACGGACACTTTTCCGCAAAAGCACTTTTTGCGGAAAAGCGTCCGTGCCAATCTAGATGCACTTTTCCGCAAAAAAGCCCAGATTGCCATTTTCGCGATTGGGGCTTTTTTGCGGAAAACAAATCTGAGCTGTCTACACTGGCCCTTTTGCGCAAAAGCTTTGCGCAAAAGGGACTTTTGCTTGAATGGGAGCAGAATAGTATTTCCACAAGAAGCACTTATTTCTTACAGTAGGAAGTCAGTGTTTTTGTGGAAATTCAAGCGGCCAGTGTAGACAGCTGGCAAGTTTTTCCAGAAAAGCGGCTGATTTTCCGGAAAAACTGGCCAGTCTAGACACAGCCATGGGAGACTGAGGCACAGAGAGGCTAAGGGGATTATCCAAGTCACATAGGACATCTGTGTCAGAGCAGGGATAGATCATAGCCCATCCTCTCACTGGTACAGCACCCTACCCAATCTGTTCTTCACTTCACTTGACCCAATATTTTTGTGAGCATGGAAGTGGTAGAGAATGCATCCAACTGCTACTTACACAGCAGTGTGTAGGAGAATGGTACAAACACAGGGCCAGAGGGCTCAGGGAAAGCCAGGGTGTCACGTTACTGGATTTTAAGGGGATCAGCCAGATCACTGCTGCACCCGGGGGAGGAGGTATTTGCCCCAAAAGTGTATGATAAGGGGGCCATGTGAGGTTTCCAATGAAAGCTTGTGTTCTACTGATTCTGTATATGCTATTCATGTACTTGTATAATATCTGTATGTGGAGTTATAAACATGTACTCTGCAAGGAATGCTCAGCCAATGGCTATACTAAATAGCAAGGAGACAATGAATCTCTAGGTGCCAATACACATCTCAGGAATGTGACTGATACCTAAGGGCTACCAGCATGGAACACAGGGATAGGTCACAGACCAAGTGACCTGCTGCAGCCATAAAGATGCCAGGAGATATATGTGCCATGTGGCACCCTCCATCTTGGTCTTCAGCTCCACTCTTGAGCCCAGAGGCAGCCTTGCAGGGAACCATGAGCCAAAAAGAACTGTGGACCCATCCTGACATAGAATGTACACCAAAGACTTATAAGCCAGCAGTTATATCTCTGCTACGAACCTGTATCGAGAACTGGGTGATTCGATGCATGTAATGTAATATCCTTTAACAACCTTACTCTCATGCTTTTCTTTCTTTGAATAATAAACCTTTAGATTTTAGATTCTAAAGGATTGGCTCAGCATGTTCTTGTGGGTAAGATCCAGGGTATAAATTGACGTGGGAACTATGGCTGGTTTATTGGGACTGGAGAACCCATTCGGGGTAGGTGAGATTGGGTCCTATAACCCCTCACCTGTGTGTTAGGCCCGGGGCTGTTTGGGGCATGGAGAGAGCTGGGATGTCAGAGGGGTTTTGCTCGTGAGGCTTCTGGCTGCCCAAATAGGCAGCTGAAGTACTCGGTGGGACTGGTTTGTAGCCTCTTTGGGAAGGGCCTCCAGTCAGTGGCCGTAAGGAGCCCCGAGTTTGAGCAATTCACCCTGAGCAGATACCCTCAGTCGTGCCCATACCCAGCACGGTCAGTTACACAGGGCCAAAGAGCCAAGATCACTTTGCAAAGTGCACTGATGGATAGTTCGCTATTAACAGTAATTGATCTTGAGTTAGCTCTTAAGGGGTCCCAAGCACCTGTGACTCCACCAGTGACTAGATGCACCTAGTCTGGGAAAGAGAGAGACTGGTGGGGGGCATGTCAGGTATCTGGCTGGGAAACACATATCCATCTAAGGAAGGCTACTGATGCCCGGTTCTTGTAGCTGGGAATTTCACTTGCATAGTCAGTTTCTCTGTCCCTGCCCCTGATCCCGGACTCTCTTTGAATCTAGCAAGGTAAGAGAGGGGGTTATCCCAAGCACCGGGGAGAAATGATTCTGGCTTCTGTGCCAGAGTTAGCTCCAGTGTGAATAATTATGCTTGGAACAATTTCACTAGCTGCCTTTTAAGTTAATTAAACTTTGCTTTTAACTAAACCACTCCTGCTCCTGGCTGCTCTCCCGTGTGCCCCACGCGACTCAGCAGCAGGACTGGAAAAGCCTTGGGCTTCAGCATGTCTGGGAAGCCAAGCTTTTGTTCTGTGAAGCAGCAAATGCCCCCCCGTTGACCGCCTTCATCTATTGCCTTTACTACTTACAGCAGAATCCATGTCACATGATCCTGCAATCTAATCAGGCCCAGATGCCGCTGCTGATCCACAAACCCTTCAGCAGCCAGCTTTGCTACGCTTTTCCCTGCTCCCCAACAGAGCAGCAGTCCTATGGGCTTTACCTTGATGCCTGACCCACTGCAGCTTTGGGGGGCCATCCGTGGTGACGGTTCGCAACGGCACAGGGCAGGCTCCAAGGCTGTAGCCTGGGATATCTCTTGCTGAGATGCTCTAGGAGAGATAATCTGGGCTTCTGAGTCACCGGAAGAGAGAAGAAGCTGCAACGCCAACTAGAGGCAAAGATCAGACAGGCAGAGAGAGGAGGCAGTGAACAGAAGGAAGCCAGCTGCTGCTTAGGCTGTGCCTGGGGTAATTACAGGCCATCCATTTCTAACACCAGCACCTTAACTCCAGCTAATTTTATTTCTGAAAACACAACAATAGCTGGGTCCATATGGAAAGCAATGGCTTCATACGTGACGTATTTTATGCCCCTTCTTCATTACTCACTAGTGCAGTGGTCACTGAGGATACAAACTTCTTCTGGTGATCCTGCTAGGTCTCTATGCATGACTTTGCTCTGGACTCCTAGTGACTCCAATGGCAGTGCCACATATGCAGGGCTGGTGGGATCAGGCCCAGTGTTATTAAGGGGTGCTAGTGTCAGGAAAGTGCAGTGGTGCTAGGACTACAGACTAGCACAGAGTGTGCCAGGTCATGGCGTGCCTGGGCTTCACCAAATCTAGGAGTTGAATAGGAAATGGGTCTCCCAGCTGTGGTGTTTACATGGGGTAACACACTACCAGATCAGGAATGAGCATTCTAAATGTACTGGTGTAAATGACTTCACACGGTGCAGGGCAAGGAAATGTAGGCAGCCCCTCTAACACCAGTCAGGGAGAGACAAAAACAAGACCAGGAAACGTAGTCAAGCAATAAGGAGCAGTGAGCTCCTAGGACTACCAAGAGTGAGGAGACAGCTGACTACTTCAGTGTACCAGTGGAACTTTTCTCTTTGATTGGCTTAGCCACTGGACAATCCAAGAAGCTCAGGGTAAATCAAGGCTGGGAAGAGTGTGGTACCAACCAGAGACTCAAGTTCAGGGTTTGTTTTTTGGAGGATGGGATAGTGGTTGATGGTCCCAGTATCAGGGAGAAGTTGGACAGTAAAAATGGGGTGGGGTGGACAAAAGGGGCTGGAACAATGGGGCAGTGCCTGCTAACCAGGACAGTGTTTTAGCAGGGAGCTGCATCTGCAAGCTCTGTGTCCCACAGTTAGCACCCGACTGGAAGAAGGGGGAGCAAAGTTGGTCTGAACAGATAGAAGTGCAGTTATGTGGTGGATCCAAGGCAGCACAAGCAGACAGTAGTTCTAGTGCAGATGCTTTAGCAGAGCTGAGGAGAGATTGGGACAAGACTGTAGTAGCAGAAGAGATTGCAGGCCTTGACTGAGGCATGGAAATCTACAGAGCTCCTGGCCCTGTAGTGGCTGGCTCAGGCTCCCATTGGTGCTATTAGTTCTTCATTTAGCCCATCACTTAACTTGCTCATGGTGCTTGGAAAAGAAGAAAAATTGAGACATATGGAATGGAAGAATATAGCCATAGCTTTGTAGCCAGTGAAGCGTTGTAGCCCTGGGACTTAGAAGTGAGAAAGAAAGGATGTGTCTTATGAGCCTGTGAAAAGATCTGTTATCAAAATGGACCTGTCAGTTTTTTAAAATTCAGAAAACTGCCATTGTGAGAAAACACATCAGACTTTCAGCCATGTCAGCAGGGAAAGTTATTGCAAATGACAGCTGGGTCTGATAAACTATTACAGGAAGAGAGTAGAGGCGGTTTATGCCAGCATGGTCAGCTATGCAGACCTGAAGTAAAAAAGCTAAACACCTCCCCCCTTCCCGCCTCAGTCTCCAGTATATACAGGAATTTGGAGTCAATGGGATTTGGACTCAGGTTCTTATCTATGGAAAAACTGGAGCCAGATCCTCACCGGATGTAAATCAGCACAGCCATATTGACTTTATTTTACTCTATCAATGGATCTCTGCTGATTTACACATGTTAATGATTCAGCCAGCCTTTTATTTTGTAGCCAAACAAATGATGGACAATTATCAGTTAATTGGGATTTTAATGCAAAATCTGAAGAATTTAGCATAGGTGCTCTCAGAATAGTAACACCAACTACCACTGTTTGTAATCCTGAAAAAAGATCCCAAAGCAATCTACAGACTCAACATATTTTACACAGGGATCACTTCTTCCACTACACCCACATCTGGGGGGAATGCAGCAGCTGTTTGACTGTGCACGTCATGGGGTGCCTGGCTCCTTAAAAGGCGATGGGCTCCAGCTCCACTTGTGGTAAGACCCATTCACCTCCCCAGGTGGGAAAGTGACTGTGGTCATGGGATGAGACTAACTTGGGCCAAGCATAGGGATATAGGGTTGAGAGGCCTGCAACTCTGCAGTAGGCAGGGCTTGGACCACCAGCTAGGATAGATACCTGTGAAGCTATAGCTGGCCTGAGGAAGTAGCTACAGGGAGCAAACTGGTTACTGCAAGGAATCAAAGGCCTGTTTGATTCTAGCCCAGCTCAAGAAGAGTGAGGCACTCAAGTGACAGCCAAAAGCTGGAGAAAGCAAGGCAGCAGGTGGACACTCTATTTTGATCTTAAAGTAAAATCCCCAGCAGGGGAATTTTGTCTTACACCTTTTTGGTCGG